TGTTGCTTGTAGACCATGTTGACTCCTTTTCGCTTTCCCTTGCGAGCCCATGATTGGTCAGTGCATTAGAAGCCCTTGCGCCCGCTTTTTAGATTCCACAATCTAGACATAATCACCGAGCATGTTTCCAGGATGCAGGGCTCCAGGCACGGGAGAAGTTGGCCAGACCGCTTTAGCAGTTTCTGCTCTGATCCGGAGGAACATCTGTCTTTTTCTCTGCCCTCAGGCCCCGAGGTGTCTGTGCCTGGAAGCAATTTCCTGTGGGTGGGTATTGCGTTCTGATTGGGGACAAGAGCTGATGTCAGTACCGCGCCTTGTTCAGGATGGGAGGGAGGATCTGCCATGCACCCAGGGTCAGGATGCTTTCTAGCGGGCTGAGGCAGTGAGACTGACATGAGAACCAGGGCGCGCAGCACCAGCCCCGTGGTACGGACTCCAGGCGCTGTCAGGGTGAGGGAGAGGAGAGGCCGCTGTCAGGGTGAGGGAGAGGAGAGGCCGCTGTCAGGGTGAGGGAGAGGAGAGGCCGCTGTCAGGGTGAGGGAGAGGAGAGGCCGGGAGGGCCAGAGTGTTCAGGGAGGGTTGGTTCCCTGGAGTTGTCAGTCTTCATGTTCAACACTCCGAAGGGTGCAGCTGACTTGGGCAGGGGAAGGGACCAGAGAATAACTTAAACCCAGAGAAAACAGGCTGGGGGACACACAGAGCAAAGAAATAAAAGGAATCTTAATGATCTCAGACTTGGCCCTGACGAAAGTGCTGTTGAGTAGGCGGTTAAGACAACTGTGTTCTCGTGCTGCCACCTGCTGCCTTTAGGGAGTACTGCAGCAGTAGTTGGGGAAGCTGCTCACATTTAAGGTTCAGTTGTTAGTTTTCCTTAACCCACACCTGGTGCTTTGTAGTCTAGCGAGTCCCCTTTTGATGGAGAGAACACATTTGTGGCTGACTGTGTTTTTAGGAGCAGGAGTCGGGTGTAGTCGTTTTTGAGGAGGAGGAGGAGGAGGAGGAGGAATAGGAAGAGCGCTGGTTTCTATCTGCTGGCCTCAGGGCGGTGGGCAGGATGATGGAGAGCCCCCTGTCTTTGCATTTTGGGATTGTAGGTAAAAGCAATAGACAAAGTACAGAAAGATGTGTCTGTGGATGTCACAGAGGCTGGGTATGGGCATCTGGACTAAGATGCACTATCTGGCCAGGTGGCATGGAACATGCTCAGCCTTGAACATTTAAAAAACGCTGTGCACTCCGTGACGTGGGCTAACGCGGGAGCTCTCTCTGTGGAGGCGTCGCGGCCGACTAAAGCAGGGCTCCTGCTGTCATTTTTGAGGTGAAGGCTACTACTAGGTTCTCCTTTGCTTCTGTAGGACTTGGCCTTGGAAAGTAAACATCTGCATAGCTTTGCTTAAGCTTCACCTCGAGGCTTTCCGGCATTTCACATGCTGTTCCTTAAAGAACACTTGGAGCGCGCCCAGTGTGGCCCAGTGGCTGAGCGTCAACCTGTGAAACAGGAGGTCACAGTTTGATTCCCAGTCAGGGCACATGCCTGGGTTGTAGGCTCAATCCCCAGTGGGGAGTGTGCAGAGGCAGCCGATCAATGAGTCTCTCTCATCACTGATGTTTCCATCTCTCTCTCCCTCTTTCCTCTCGGAAATCAATTATATATATATATATATATATATATATATATATATATATATATATATATATATATATATATCTCACTTGGGGCTGGACATGCACTGTCAGCATTGTTGTAGAACGGAGAAGACTGTGCTACTCCCCTCTTGAAAGTATTGCCTTGCCTTTTCAGAGGAGACACTGTCTCCACAGCATCCTTCTGGTGTCACAGGTCTAAGCTGCAGGGGTTGACACGTCCCAGTTAAGCAGGGTCTGTCTTCTCCCAGGGAAGCAGTGCCCGTCCCATTGGTAGCTCATCGTTCGATTCTGAACCTGTGCCTGTTCCTGTGCACAGTGTGTGGTCAGTCGCAGCTGCTCCCTCACCCTCCGGCCCCCGCGGGACCCCCAGAGGACGCTGAAGCTGCTTCAGCGGGAGGATTGAGCTAACAGGCTGACTCTTCGTGC